TCGGCGTTAGCTTTAATGATTTATTTATTTGTAATTCCTATGGTGTCAGTTTTAAATGACCCCATAACCCATAGTTATATAAACGGATAATCTTGTATATTAAATTCTAGTAAAAGTATTCCAAAACAATATACATATATATATAAGATTATAGAACATAATTTGTTTAATGTATAATTTTAGTTAAATATAAGCATTGAGATATAAGCATAGTTTTAAGCAATTTCGTGACATATTTAGAAGTTAATTCCCTTGAATCTCAAATTATTGTAAATGGGAGGTAAACATGAAATTGTTTTTTTTTTAATTACCACGAGGAATTAATTAAATGAAGATATTTAAAATTTTGAAATTATAAATGTTCCGCTATAAGAGCACACGGTCGAGAGTATACTTGAGTCAATCCCCCCCCTTGCTACTCTACCTACAAAGGTCACCTCAATTGTCTCATACGTTTTCATGGTTCAACATAGAAACAAGCTTCAACGTAAAAACAAGAAATTTACGTCAAATCGGTGAAAGCAACGTGTGCGTGTCGTGAGAAAGACAGCTGTCCATAGCTGTCCATAGTGTGTTTCTGGACACCCCTTGCCAATGGCACAGAATATATATATATATATATATATATATATATATATATATATATATATATATATATATATATATATATATATATATATATATATATATATATATATATATATATATATATATATATATATATATATAACACAAACCTAACTTAAAACTCCAACAACAAACTCCCCCTCCCAACACCCAACTCACCTAACTTTAAACTCTAACAACCAACCCGACCCGACCCAACCCAACCTTGCGCCCAACCAATTCTAATTGCCGTTGACCGCCCAGTTAAGCACGGTGAGACGCCAAATTTGAACTTGATTGTTCTGATGTGTTGCCTCACTTCATAGTGCATTCAGTCGTTCAATGGGGGGTGAAATTTGCACAGTTTAAGCGCCTGTGCAATCATTCAATAAATCACAGAGTTTAATCAACCGCGGAATAAATGATTTAAGGATTATAATTTTTATTGGGCAATCATATTCCACATTGATGGTCAACCAAAGGTTATGGGCTGACAAAATATAACGAGGCGGATGTTGAAGACTCACATACTTAAACACCATTTATTAATTCCTCATTATGCAGCAGATCCAACTAGATTTAATTATCAACAAAACTAAAGCAAAAGTGATGTATGTGAGCAATAATTTTTTAATTCAAATGTTATACTGGCAAAATAGTAAGGGAGGTAACTGCGTATATTTAATTTTTTCAAAATGTTTACTCAAATAGCCTCCCATGTTGCTGATATACATTGTCAGCGCGCTTCAGATTCATTTTAGAAAATTTTAAATTACGTAACAAGGGAAATAATCAAGTATATTCTAGATGATCATACAAGGGTAAAGTTATCTACGCCTGACGTAGCGTTGTTTTACTGAAAATGTAATGTTTTGTCGGGAATTAAAATCAGCATGCGCTAAAGCACAGAGCTGTAAAGCATACACAATACTAAATATAAATACACTGAAGTGCACTGAAGTATATATTGATACATTGAAGTTAACAAAGTACTCTCAAATACGCTTTATTGCATTTAAGCACAATAAAGTAAACAGAAGTGCGAAGTACATATGAGTCAGTGTCTACCAGACTTTTTCCTCCCGGGGGGGGGGGGGGGGGGGGGGGGGGCACTTGATATTTGGGGGGGGGGGGCGGATAACATTTTTCGGGGGGCACACACGGGTAAAAGTATGTTTTCTATATAAATTCGTTCGGAGCCCCCCCCCCCCCCCGAAGAGATGCCTGTAAGCAGAGGCGTCGCGATGCAGGGGCGGGGGGCGCGGACCGCACCGGGTGACATCTTTTAACGGGCTAACACCAAGACAAACAATTGAAAATTTGAAATTTTGCCAGTTTAATTAATGATTAATTAGAAATAAAAAGTCTTATTAAGTGCAAATCAAAGATTCCGATACAGGGGAGGGGGTGACATCTAGACGTATACCTGCCAATTATAGAGAAAACAATTTTACATACAGCTGTTACAGCTGTATTAGCTACAGCTATATATATATATATATATATATATATATATATATATATATATATATATATATATATATATAAACTGATACTTGTTTGGGGGGGGGGGGGGTGACACCATTAGGTGCCGCACCGGGTGACACCCGACCTAGCAACGCCACTGCATGGAAGAAACTCTGAATGGAGTAGTCTACATAAAAGAACATACAAAACAGTCCATATAACTACATGCTAATACATGAAAAACATCAAATGCACCATCCCACAGTAAACAGTTACCTGTAGTTTCAAGGGTCTAGAGCAGATAATCAACAGTGATTCAACTGTGGATGTTTAGTTTTTTCTTATAAATCAGAAATTATGACAGGTGGGCACATAGATGGGCGTATTTACAGATGGGCAAATGTACATACAGATATATGGGCGTAAGAACAAATGGACACACGGACATATGGACACACGGACGTATGGACACACGGACATCAGGACACCATAACACACAGATACATGTACATACAGACATAAGGAAACGTGGGCATAAAAACAAATGGACACATTGACCTACGGATAATATAGACACACTGACATCAGGACAAATGGACACATGGACACACGCACTTAAGGAAATATGAACACATGAGCATACGGACACATGGACAAACGGACACACAGACACATGGACATGAACTAGAATGGTGTAGAATGATGCTCTTAATGACTAGCTAGGTAATTAAATTTAGTCTGCGAAAGATTCTTCATAATTACTCCTCATTAAAGATTTCTTAGCTAGGTTTTTAATATCACAACAGCTTGATTCAAAGCCACACCACAAACACCTCATTAAATAGCTGAGTCACCCCCCCCTCCCAATAGCCAATAGAAACACGCGAAAACAAATAAATAAGTCCCATCCTCTTAACATAATAATGTATTATTTTTAAACAATGTGTTAAGAAATACTAAATGTACGTAAAGTCATATTTCGTGCAGGGTCCCCATTCAAGGGATGGCGTGGCCTAACGGCAGAGAGCTGTCCTGCTAAGCCGAGAGCCTCGAGTTCAAATCCTGTTTCAAATCAGTGGAACGTCCTGAGTCCACCCAACTCTGAATGGTACCTAACATAAGTTAGGGAAACAAAGGCGGCTATCTGTTCATATGCCATGGTCTCTGAATCTGCCCCATGTGTGTCGGGCACTCCTCTTTAGTGACGCCCTATGTATGAGACAACTCAGACCGTTAAAAACACCAAATTATGATGTTTACAGTTTCCGATTCCAAGTTTTTTTTACTATTTTTAGTGTCCCACATCAGGCGTTAAGTCTTTTTCTCTGCTCGAAACTGCTGTCTGAGTGTCAGACTAAAACATGACATCAATAATTGTTTCGTTTCTTACCACTCTCTCAGCGTTTGATTTTTTAACTTTATGACGTCATTCATTACCTCACAATACTATTTCATTGAATTGTTTGGTTCATGTACTGTTGAAGTTCTGTTTAGTTATAGTTTACTTGTTATTGTATTGGAATTTATTACAACGATATAATTTTACCTATCTTTAATTATCTTATAACACGATATTATTTCAATGACGTTTTTTAAAATCCAAGAATGTAACAAATGACGCATTTTGAAATTATGCAGCTTTAATTATACTATTGTAATGAGTAATATTTGAAACTACAGTGAACTTAATGTTTTTATTGTATTGATGCTGTTGTATTAAATGAAAGAAACACATAAGAACCAGTCAATTCACATGTAAGTTTAATAATATGAAGACATGAATTCAAGTTGAATTGAACATGAAGTATAATGGACCCATGCTAACGTTTGAAGTCCCACAGAAAAAGAGCAAGTAACTATTCATGTGGTAAAAGTTAAATACAAATTGGTTACACAAAGACGTTTGGTGCCTGTTAAATTTGGAACAAGGGCGACAACTAAAGCATTCTTTTAAAAAAATTAGTCCGTAGTTTAGTCTTAGTTACGTTTTCTTATTATCATAACAAACGCCAAATTTATTATTAATTGTTTTTTTTTCGATTACAAATACATCGGTAAAAAAATCGTCCTAAGCTTTGCCCATTGAACATTGACTAAATGTCACTTATATGTCAATCATGAAAAAAACATCGCCCTTGGAACAACGACAATCATTTATTACACAACTGTCATCTTTTGTGAATCATCGCACATCAACATCATACATCGTCTGTAATATTACACGCATGCTGTAATGACGTGGGTTTTATGAATGATGTTCCCTGACATCAATGTCACACATCACTCGGGATGGGGCTGACATCAACCAGCATACATCACGCAACATCATTAGGCATGGTCACACACACATCACACATCTTACATCATGACCATACATCACACAAACATCATCATGGTATGCACATCAAACAGCTTGAACCGTGGTCATACATAATACAGACATCACCATGGAGAAAACACAGCACACATCTTTCATCAAGGCCATAAAATTTCACTTTATATTCACATCATTTTCATTAAACTACATCATTCCAGTTTCACTATATATTCACATTTCCATTATACTACATCACTAAAAGTTCACTATATATTCACATTTCCATTAAACTACATCACTAAAATTTCCCTTTATATTCACATTTTCATACTACTACATCAATTTCACTTTATATACATGTTTTCATTATACAACGTTACTACAGTTTTAAGTTATATTCGAATTTTCATTATATCACATCACTACACTTTCGTAATATAAAACAAACAAAAAACAAACAAATTCACCTCTACGCTCCAATTAAAAATCAACTCAATCCGCTTAGAGACCATTAACTATAACCACCAGACATCTAGCTACCATCACATATATCTACCATCGCACAAATCACTATCACATATAACTACCATCCTTTCACACAACACCATAATATAAAACCATCATAAATAACTATCACCACACATAGATATCATACATAAGTACATCTCATAGTACCATCACACTAACACCATCACACATATCTAGCATCACACATAACTACCATCACATATAATACCATCACACATCGCCACCATTACACAAAACACTTTAAAATATGACCATAATAAGTAGCTACCATACCACATATGATTATCATACATAAGATCTCATTGCACCATCAAACATAACTACCATCGTACAAAACTACCATCACACATATCCACCTTCACACACAACTACCATCACACATATCCACCATCACACGTAACTACTATCAAACAAACACTATCACACTAACACCATCACACAAACACCATAACACATATCTTCCATCACACATATCCACCATCACACATAACCACCATCACACATATCTACCATCACACACATCCACCATCACACACATTCACCATCACACATATCCACCATCACACATATCCACCATCACACATATCCACCATCACACATATCCACCATCACTCATATCCACCATCACACATATCCACCATCACACATATCCACCATCCATCTTTCGCTCCAGACTTTGCACGTGCTCTCGAGCACGCACGCGCAGTGAGGCTATGCTGGAACTTTTATCGGCTGAGTAGGCTCGCTCGTGCGTCCTGACGTGCTTGCCGTGTAGCGGGCTCAACATTTCCGACAAAGTGTGTAGCTGTGACGTCAGGTTGTTGCAGTGTGACGTCATACCCGACGAAATGTAATCCGAATACGACAGAGGCGATGTCGGACCGACAACCGATGACGTCAGAAGCGGCGTCGCTTGTCCCATGATGGACGGGGAAAATGACGTCATTGCCGAGGTAGCCAGATCGCCAGCTGTACTCATTATGGGCGGGGTCAACCAGGGGTCAAGCGGAAGTGACGTAGGCCCGAGTGAAACAGGCGTCATCATCATGGAGACAGAGGGTACGTTCAAAGTTTCTGGAAGTTTCCCGTATTCTATCTTCTCCTGTCGCCGCCATTTTGCTCGTCTGTTCTGGAACCAAACCTGGTGAACAAAATGTGAACAAAATGTGAACAAAATGTGAACAAGATGTGAATAAAATGTGAACAAAATGAGAAACAAAATGTGAACAAAATGTGAACAAAATGTGAACAAAATGTGAGCAAAATGTGAACAAAATGTAAACAAACAAAATGTGAACAAAACGTGAACAAAATGTAAACAAACAAAATGTAAACGTATGTCAACAAAACGTAAACAAAAAGTAAACATAACGTAAACAAATTATAAGATGTGTAAGTTGGGAAAGTGGCAATAATTTGAATAGAAGAATTTATCAGTTTTCTAGTAAGGTATCAAACAGTCCGGTTTTTATTAATTTCAACTTGAAGGAAATTTGACTAGTTGGATGCTTTTCTCTCGGTTTTTCTACTGTAAAAGAATAGTTTAATCGATGAGATAGTCCACTAACGCTTTCTATAAATAGGCGCATCTACTACAAATTAAACGTAACACGCCCAACACCCCACCCCCCATCATACCCCATAAAATGGTAATGGTGATGCCCATTGAAGCCAATTAATTACTGATTAATAAATGACGTTTATATTTCGCTCATACAAACAGTGCCGGGGTCATGTTATTTAGCGCCCTAGGCTAAACTTATTAAAACGCCTCATTTCACACGAATTAATTGATAAAACATTTTTTAAGAAAACTATTAATTTATTATAAATTGCATAAATGTTATATGTAGAGGTGGAAGCGTAATCACATTCTATTGAAATTGTTGATAAGTCCACGAGTCTACTTTATGACATAGCCCCCCCCCTCCCCGGGAGAAAAAAAGTCTTTATAAAAAACACTGAAAAAAACACTGCAGACATTCCAAGGTGAGTTCCAGAGTCCAGAACGGACCTTACCTGTTTTAAGCTTGACTGTCTTTAGTTATAATTGTAAAATGTCTATATTGTGTGATTATGAAATGATTTTTTGGTTTCGAAAAATAAAAGTTTACAATTGTTATAGATTACAGCATACTATTGTTATATATGAATTCTTTAGGAGAGGGTGAAAAATATGAAAAAAAAACAACACTTAATTAATTAGATGATTTATTTGCGACTAAGACGATTTTAGATATCTCATACTGTATGTCTACTAATATTAAGTATTGCAATCTATTTATTTTTCAAATTGATAATGCTAAAAAAACAACCCCAAACTGTTTTGTTTAGAAGTTATGCTCTATATAATTATTACAATAGCAAATAAAGTTGTATTCATAAGTAAGCGGTCAACAAAGGTAATTTGAAATGGTAGTTGAGTTAAGCAACGAATTATCTCCCATTTGGAAATCCAAATACCAAAATTTTATTCAAGGGAAATAACTTTTACAAGAATAACTAAATTAATCTAATGTAACTAAGACATTCTTGAAAAACACAATATTCCTCTTTAAATCTCATTACATAATCATTATACCTAATTTTTGTATACTAATTATGTAACCTTGTCAAAACAATATATTTTACCAACTGACTACTTAATTGTAGGTTGTTTGAAAGTTTAAACATAGTAGCTTTGTTATAACATAGGCCTACTTCTATTCAATATCAATGACATGCATTTTATTGATAAACCGGCAATATCCTATTTATCCATTTAATTTTGGATCCCAAAAATAATGGGACGCATTTCCAAAAATATCAAATACTGGTAACTGTTTAAGAAATTGCAATAATTATTGTTTAAATATTAAAATAAAATAATTTGGCAAAAACAAAGTTTATAGTTAGTTATGAATTCTAGCCTATATAATATTATATATTAATTCTTTAAGAGTGGTAATGTAGATTCCTAAAAAACTCATGATTTTTCAGCTAGAGAACGCCTACCTTTCTTTGTAATGTGTTCCGTACTGAATTGAAATCATCTTACTCACGATAATCTCAACTACTCGTTATACTCAAACTCTACTACATTCATTCACAACTCATATCAAACTTCGATACCCAAACATATTTAGACTCGATGCTCCAGAACTACGACACCACCTCGCTTAACTTCACCAAGCTCTACAAGCGATACTCCCAATCAACAAAGATTTAACTGGACCCTCTAATACATGATAACGGTCAACACACTGCTATACCTTAATCCCAGACTCCTGAGCAACAATATTTCATCACCTACATTTTCATTTCTCTACTACCAATCAGATTCCACTAGACCTACAACTACACGACAACAGCCAAATAAAAAATTCGATACTTTGAACATCCCGTCATTACAAAACTATACACCAGAACAGATTTCTAATTCAAAGTAAGAGAAAACGAGGCTTACAAGCCCGATTAAAAACCAAAATTGTACGTGTTTTGGAATGCCCCGTCATGCGCTGGAGCGATCACTAAATCAACCTTAAAATAAGATAACCGTTTGAAATGTTCAAAATTTAAATTACGGACTTATTTAAGCGTTTTCTACATCAATTATTTAACACCAAAATAAAAAGCATAGTGACTGGTAAAAAGCGCCACGACCTTTCCAAATTAGGGAGGTGGGGGGGGGGGGGGGGTGGGGGGGTGCATTTTCACCAATAAATGTAGGCCTATATAGACCTAATTTGGGGGGTGTGGGCGCAAAATTAATAGTTCGCCCTGGGCGCCGTAATAGATCATTACGCCTTTGTATAAAACCATCCATAGTTTACAAAAGATAGAGTTATTAATTATTACGAACTTTTTGATAATGACGATTTCACAATTTTGCGCCCCCCCCCCCCCCTAGGGATGGCGCCCTAAGCGACTGCCTAATTCGCCTTATAGGTAGACACATCATTTCAAGACAAGTGTTTTTGAGCTGTTCGTGGAGTTCAAAATACAAGAAAATAACTGGCGCAGAAAAAAAACACGTTTTTATTTGGGAAGAGATGAGGAAAGTAGAACACATGGAAGGATGTTGTAAATGGCTTCTGCTCTACCGGAACTTGAAAAATCAACAACCAATGGTGTGTTGATGCCACGCACTCCAACATACGGACACACTAACACGAACACACACGAACACACCTACACACCAACACACGGACACACCAAAATACGGACACAGCGACACACGGACACACGGACACACGGACACACCACCAAATTGACACATCAACATTGATACACCAAAACACTGACACACCAAAACACCAACACACGGACACAACGACATACGGGCACAACGACACACAGCCACATCACCATACAACCACACTACCACACAGCCCCACCACCACCATACAACCACACTACCACATAGCCACACCACCACCATACAACCACACTACCACATAGCCACACCATCACACAGCCCCACCACGACACAACCACACCACCACACAGCCACACCACCACACAGCCACACCACCACACAGCCACACCACCACACAGCCACACCACCACACAGCCACACCACCACACAGCCACACCACCACACAGCCACACCACCACACAGCCACACCACCACACAGCCACACCACCACACAGCCACACCACCACACAGCCACACCACCACACAGCCACACCACCACACAGCCACACCACCACACAGCCACACCACCACACAGCCCCACCACCATACAACAACACCACCACCACACAGCCACACCACCACACAGCCCCACCACCACGAAGCTGTAACACGACTAACAGATGTGAAGCTCGGGAAAAGACGGGGGCGGTACCGCGGGCCGACCCACAATTAAACTTCATAAATAGCAACAAAACGCAGGGGTCCGCCATTGTTGGGCGCGGCCAGGGAAGGCTATGAGGAAATGGACCGTGCGGACAAGAGCTAATTACCAGCTGACATAAATGGTCAGTGTCGGTCAAGCTTTGGTCAGCTTGACCATCCTCTGATCAATGGGCTGAAATTGGAGTTAAAGAGGTTTTGAAGCTGATATCAATAGCAGGGGAGCCGTGTGGGGAGCGAGGGCGCGGCGCCCTACACGCTAATTACACTGCAGCCTCTACCCACCAAGAGACCCTTATTTTGGTCCGGGATTTTCCAATTAGTTCTCTTTGCCTAGGGAGATCGACCTAATTCAGCTGGCCGTAGGCGCGTCCCGACACTTCATCTTTAACCGCTTTTCTTGCCTTCCGACCCAGCAGTTCACCGTCTAGTCAGGCAACGTGCCTTAATTTGATTGGACGGTGGCGGCCTCGTGGCTTCAGACCCCCAACTCTTTGTTACTGCACAAAATGGGGGTGGGGATGGACGGTGGGGAGTGGGTCCTGGGTGAAGTTAATAACGGCTTTACTCCCGAAAATCTGTAACGACATTAGCGACGTTTCACTTGATCCCAGAGCCGGGGAGGCCCGGGTTACCGCCCCTGCTTTCAGTCACTAAAGACCTCATAATGGAGGTAGCAACGAGTCGACAGTCCCTAACTAAGGCAAATGGGATTCATTTATCTCCCCTGGGACGGCCAAATCTTCTTTACTCAAAGGATTAAATAAAGGTGGCAGGATTTTACCACTCAACGTACGCGCTAGTGGACGGTAGAAAATATTTATCTTAATTTTATACAAAAAAAGGGTTTTAAAAAATGTCCCAAAAAAGTCACATTTATATTCCCCCCCCCCCATCCTCCATCCCCACTTTCCCACCCTACCGCCATTTACCCCCTCCCTCCCCCCACCCAACTTTCCCAGCCTACCGCCCACACCCCCACCATCCCCTAACCCCCGACCCCCCACCCTCTCTATATGCCAGGTGATCTTGTCAGCAGACGACCAGATTACGTCTTTTGTTGTCATGTTGAGGACATCAGTATTCAAATGCTCGCGTGTAGGACATTCACTGCTCACCATGTCCTCTTGTGTAGGACATTCACTGCTCACCCTGTCCTCTTGTGTAGGACATTCACTGCTCACCCTGTCCTCTTGTGTAGGACATTCACTGCTCACCCTGTCCTCTCAGGTAGGACATTCACTGCTCACCCTGTCCTCTTGTTTAGGACATTCACTTCTCACCCTGTCCTTTTGTTTAGGACATTCACTGCTAAATGTTTGTAGGACATTTACTGCTCATCCTGTCCTATTGTGTAGGACATTCACTGCTCACCCTGTCCTCTTGTGTAGGACATTCACTACTATATGTTTGTAGGACATTCACTGCTCGCCCTGTCCTCTCATGTAGGACATTCACTGCTCACACTTTCCTCTCATGTAGGACATTCACTGCTCACCCTGTCCTTGTGTAGGACATTCACTGCACACCCTGTCCTATTGTGTAGGACATTCACTGCTCACTCTGTCCTCTTGTGTAGGACATTCACTGCTCACCCTGTCCTCTCGTGTAGGACATTCACTGCTCACTCCTGGCGTGTAGGACATTCACTGCTCACCCTGTCCTCTTGTGTAGGACATTCACTGCTCACTCCTGGCGTGTAGGACATTCACTGCTCACCCTGTCCTCTCATGTAGGACATTCACTGCTCGCCCTGTCCTCTTGTGTAGGACATTCACTGCTCACACTGTCCTCTTGTGTAGGACATTCACTGCTCACACTGTCCTCTCATGTAGGGCATTCACTGCTTACCCTGTCCACTTGTGTAGGACATTCACTACTATATGTTTGTAGGACATTCACTGCTCACACCGTCCTCTCGTGTAGGACATTCACTACTATATGTTTGTAGGACATTCACTGCTCGCCCTGTCCTCTCAGGTAGGACATTCACTGCTCACCCTGTCCTCTTGTGTAGGACATTCACTGCTCACTCCTGGCGTGTAGGACATTCACTGCTCACCCTGTCCTCTCATGTAGGACATTCACTGCTCGCCCTGTCCTCTTGTGTAGGACATTCACTGCTCACACTGTCCTCTTGTGTAGGACATTCACTGCTCACTCCTGGCGTGTAGGACATTCACTGCTCACCCTGTCCTCTCATGTAGGACATTCACTGCTCGCCCTGTCCTCTCATGTAGGACATTCACTGCTTACCCTGTCCACTTGTGTAGGACATTCACTACTATATGTTTGTAGGACATTCACTGCTCACACTGTCCTCTCGTGTAGGACATTCACTACTCGCCCTGTCCTCTTGGATAGGACATTGACTGCTCACCATGTCCTCTTGTGTAGGACATTCACTGCTCACCCTGTCCCCTCCAACACAGAGGGTGTCATGTTCCACTTGGATTCATTTGTTCCGCCTGAGTTACCTCCAACGTAAGCATTACCACGCTGATTACCTCCCCAGTCTCAACAAGGTCAACAATTTTGTTAGAGTTACCCCCCCCCCTCCCTGATAATTGTTCTATGGTTGTCGTTGACGGAGTCGTCCACCCCCTCCCCCTCCTCCTGTTTCAGTTGGTCAATAGCTTAGTTTAATCCGGTGTACGGATGACAGCAAGTGGCCCTCACACTGACAGCAAGGATGGCCAATTTGTGGCCAACCCAGGTGCTGACAGTTGTGGCCTGTCTGACATCAATTTGTCCCCCGTCATCCAGCGCAGCATCCGTCATCCAACACACCGTACAACACCCCCCCCCCCCCCCCACCCCATTACACTAGACCAAACAAGAATTAAATCTATTCACACACAGGAGCTATTTACATTAATTATCTAATCACAAATTGATATTAAGTCAAAATAATTGCTTCTAGGCCAATCAGGAGAGTAAAATTGGAAGTGGGTGCACTTTAATAGAGACGAAGTGCTCACACTCAGAGAAATATCTGATTTGACACGGGCGATCTCTGTCATATTAGACAGCGTAATTCGGAGCAAACGATGACAAATATGACGTCGTAATTCGAAGCAGACGAACCACGCCGCGGGCGAAAAATTTAATAAAATTATGGTCATTAATTAATTATAGATCATCAAAGGAAACTATCGGTGTGATTTTTTAATGAGCAAAAAAGTATGACATGTTTCAGTGATTTTTGGATTGGTGGGATATTTTGTGATCGGTGAAGCGGAACGATGACGGGGAGATAATTGGTGAGTTGTTCGATATGGTATCAACACAAGTGGCATACAGATGTTCCACATGGATGATTCTAAAACACAATTAGCATACATGAAGGTACACATCAGTGGGACATAAGGAATACATGATAAACAAGGGCTGGTGAGAAGTAGAGAAGAATTTTAAAAATCAGGTTGTCTGATAAAATAAAGTTCAGTAAAGCAGAGGTCACTAGGGTGAGCAGTGATAAACAACAAAAGGTCGTTATAGGTCAATACAGAAAGGTCAGAGTGTATCACGACGCCAAAAGAACAATAAATTTTAGCAACAAGCATTTTTCTGAGGGTAAGCTCCCCTAATTAAGAACGATCACTCTTTAATGTTTAAATTAAACCCGTTTTTGTGTGTATTTATTCTCTAAATCTCCCTATCCAAGCCACATATTTTCGCATAAATATATCACAAGTGAAACAGTTGAGTGTTTAGGTACTTCCAGTGTGTATACATTATCTGTCATTTTCCGATCATTAACGTATTGACAATTATGTTCACAAACATGTTCATGACCTTGCTACTCTAATGACCTTACTACACAAATGACCTTTTTACACAAATGACCTTGCTACTCTAATGACCTAATTACTCAGATGCTCTCACTACGCAAATGACCTTGCTACACACATGACATTGCTACACACATGACCTCGCTACTCTAATGATCTAATTACTCAGATGACCTTACTACGCAAATGACCTTACCACTTGGCGTCACCGAGGACGTCTACAAATGACCTTGTTAATGTACGACAACGAAGACATGTACGTGTCTAAATGACCTTTGACCCACCTGAACCCTGACCTCCGGAAGCTTGATCTTGACGGCCAGCTCCTCCCTGCTATACACATCCGGGTAGTGCGACTTCTCGAAGGCCATCTCAAGCTCGTACAGCTGGAAGGTCGTGAAGGTCGTTCTGTTGCGCCGGTGCTTCTTCTTGCACTTGCCGCGGCCCTCGTCAAGGTCAAGGTCATCCTCCTCGTCCAGCTCGCCGGCCTCGTCCGTGTCGGTCAGCGAGTGGCCAGGGTGATTGTGGGGATTGTGGGGGTTGGTGTGGGGATTGTGGGGGTTGGTGTGGTGATTGGAGTGGTTATTGGAGTGGTGATTGTGGGATGTATTTGTCTGATTGTGAGAGCTGTTTGAGTGATTGTGTGAATGATTGTTTGACTTGCTATGATTGTGATGAGGATTGTTGGAATGATTGTGGGTGTTGCTGTGACGATTGTTGGAGATGTTGCTGTGTTCTAACGACCCGTGATGCTGATGGCTGCTATGGTGTGTAGCGTGTCCGTGTAGGGAACTGTTAAAGTGTGTAGTGTGTAGCGTGCTGCTGTGAGTACCGGACGAGAGCTGCGCGTGTGGTGATCTGCTCACACCGTCATCAGTTTTTCTCCTACCAGAATGTACGTGCGGGTCGCTCACTTTACCGTGGGTCACCGAATCTGCAAAATTAAAAAAAATCAAAAATTAAAATGCGACCTTTAAATGACCTTGTCATATATCTGTACCTTCTAAAAATACCGAAAATTATCCCAATTACGCTTTCACGTTGATTGTGTATACAAATATTTGCCGTAAAGTAGACTTTGAATACATAAAATGTATCCAACTGTTAATAGAAGCAGACACCACTAGACCAAGAGATATTTTATTTATCATTCATTAAAACCTCTACACAAACCGCGCGAGTTAGGGCGCCCAATGAAGAACCACTTATCTCTGATATTCTATAGCCTACACCCACTTCTCACTGGACCAGGAAACAAGCGGGACATTTCCCATCAGACACCAGGTACTCCAGCCCCCGACCACACGATTCACGCTTCACGGGCCCAACTCAATGCCTACGGACCCAGGAATTCCAGTATATGATTCTACAAGAAGTCATTGGCGCGTCGGATCTCAGATTTCAATTTGTCTTCAAGAAAACAAACCTTGCCATTGTGTACAGTACAAGTGCCATATTTATAGACTTATACGTCTCAAATCTTTCAATAGACTGATGGTTTTCTCGCAAAGAAAACATAGAAGTTTTGAAAATTGAGACAAATAGCCAGGGGATTTCTCCGGGGGACGGGGGAGGAAATTTGTTGCCATCGCCCGGGGCAAAATTTTGACAACTTTAGATTTAATGGATGGCGGTTGGAAGAGGGCGTTTGTTTTGGTTGTAGGTAAAGTAGCCGATTCTGGGAGGGAGATAATTATGTCATCGGTTGTTAAAGGACATTATAAGGAACTATGCTGAATAGAGGGAGGGGGGGGGTTATGATTTTAGTTTGGTGGATGGGGGTGTGTGAAGGTGGTGTTCGTGGGGTAAGTTGAAAGGAAGGGTTATGGGAACGAGAGCATATATATATATATATATATATATATATATATATATATATATATATATATATATATATATATATATATATATATATATATATAGTTTAAAGAAACTGGTCTAATGTACATGTCCCAAACAATTAATGTTATTTCAGACTGCTGCCCAGATTGAAAACCAATGGAGTAGATAATGAGACAGTAATCATTTGTATTCCAAGTATTTTTACACCCGCCCTACTCCTACCCCCCCCCCCCCTACACACAGAGTAACGCATTGATTGGCTGTAACGGCTACTTACAAGAACACACGGCGAAACCGGATCCGGGTGTCGGTTTCCGCTCTCCGCCGTGGCCGGCTGAAGAGCTCCCCTGCGGTAGCTGGCCCGGGGCTGATCACGCACCTTTGTGCGGCTCGGCTCCTACCGTCAGGCCTGGCTCCTACCGGCAGAGCCAGCTTTTCACGTGTTCTGGCGCATGAAATCACGTGGACGAATGATTTCTCCTTGAGCTAATTAAATTAGAGCTGACGAAAGATAATGCGAGGCGAGGAATAAACCAAGCTTTGTTCAGCGCGACCAACCAGCCCATTGGGGTTTTCAAAGCCTCCATTTTTTTTTTTACTTCTGTTAAATATTGTTATTGCCTCAACAAAAGATGGGGCTGCCTCCCGTTGTATTCCCACCCCCTCGCCCCAACTACCCACATTTTCCCCAACATAGAACGTATCTCCCCCCTCCCCCACCCGCACGAACATCTATGACAAAATGGCGGGGTTGGAATTAGCCCAACTTGCCACGGATTGTTCCCCTTAGTGCCGGCTGACAGTCGAACCGGCGTCCCGGCTAGCCGGCATAGTACGGCCTGGGGCCTGATGACAACGGCGACCATTGTAAACATATTATTTGCTGCAAATATACGCTCCTTGCCAATAGGAAACGGGAAAATTAGTGTAATTAGTTCTTTTTTATCGGTTTGACAAGTTTCACTGAGGGGCCCAATGAGGGGGCCCAGACCCCGCTGAGAGCACCATATTTTCAAGAAAGACTCCAGGAGGTGCCCCGCGTTTCTATGGAAGCCTCGGCCGCCGGTGAAAGCCTGCGCATGCGTAGTTGAGTTGAAATCAGAGACGGGCCGAGCGATTTCCCCCATCTATACAAACATCAACCCCGCCCCCTACCAGACAAGCAGCCTGAGGATTGTTCGCCGGGGTATATTCAGCGCCTGTCGGGCGATTGTTGGGTAACACATTGCGAATAGACAACTAGTTTTGTATTGAGTGCAAACTCTGGAAATAATCGAATAATTATAGGCATTCCATGTTTTTGTGTGCGCTAGATCGTCTCAAAGTTTTTTCAAAGTCTACACAATTTATGTGATCCGGTCCCACGCGTGGTACCATTTTGACCCTCGTACAAGCGAGTCCTTCAGCGACGGCAGACGACGAAATGCCGAATAGCAATTAACCGCGTGACGAGGTTTTCTCGAACATTCGTTGTTTTCTGTGGAGACTGGAGTGGGTATGAGGTGCCGACGGAGTCGGGGCGGAAATACAACGGCTGCTAATGAAGACAATTATTTATTGAATTAATAATTGCACGCGGAGCTACCCGGTAATTAGACGGAAAAATAAGTTTAATTACCGGTAGACGTGTGACAGTAATTATACGGGCATCCTCCGGTAGCAATCTGGCTACCTTGAGAAAACACACTTTTGGCTACCATCTGATACATTGTTGGCCACCATTTGATACCATTTTTGTTGCCTTCAGAAATCAAAGATTAGACTAATATCTAAACACAAAAATGTAGCTACCATTTGATACCACTTTTTTTAGTACCTTCAGAAATCAAAGATTAGACTAATATCTAGACACATAAATTTAGCTACCATCTGATACCACTTTTTTTTTGCTACCTTTAGAAATCAAACATTAGACTAATATCTAGACACAAACCATCTTAAACAAGCATTGCGAACTTTGGATGACACTTGTATTTAGTAGCATCCAATATGTTGAATCCAAATGTAGTGGCTACGACTTAACACATGCAGACAAAGGGCCGGCTATTTTTAACATGGGATGGTACCTTCAAGTAGACCAAGGTCTGGTACCAGGTTCGAGTGCACCTAGCTCTGACTCAGGTCCCGGAAAGGAAAGGGGACTAAACATACTGAGGTCAAAATAACCATTAGCTCTATGTGCCAATAGGGAAACCAAGCACTGACTACAGGTATTATAGCAAGATACTCTTCTGTTCAACTTAATCGTTAAGGAGCAAGAGAGAGGAGAGAGAGAGAGAGAGAGAGAGAGAGAGAGAGAGAGAGAGAGAGAAAGAAAGAGAGAGATGAAGAGGGAGAGAAACATATCGCCTCTCTACAAAACAGAAAGCGCAGCCAATAATAAATAAAAGAAACACAATCGGCTCTATCAATTCGTATACATCATTTGACTCAAAGCTAATTATCTTACACCCGTGGGTGTCCACCAGTGTTTCTTTCAGGCATTTTTCTCAGGGTGGGGGGGGGGGAAGCGGGGATCACTGCTTGAAACTTTTGAAGGGCGAAGCACTTAAATTTACGGGTGGGGTGTGATCACTGGGCGGACACTGGTCCAAATATATATTTTACATATTTATTCCGCTGGGAGGGGAGTGTGGAAGGGGCGTCGACGTGTTTCGGAAAGAGAGGGCGATCCCCCCCAGCCCATCCCCCCCCTCCGAGAAGAAGCCCGACAGAAACTCTGATGTCCACATTTCTCCCCCCCCCCCTCCCCACCCATTTTAGACCCGAGGGTTTTTAACATTTTTGTCTTCCTTCCCTAGAGCCCAGGTTCCAAACTTGATACTGACTGGTTAACAAGCGTTAACGGCTTGACCACACCATCCAGGGACACAGTTTTAAAACCAAACACGACTTGGTCGAAGTCACCGTTAGATGTAGTTAAATATATTTAATCAACAGTTGTTGAATGCAGTTATTGGACGTAGTCAAAACTTCTATTCAAATGTTTTTGTCAACAGTTGTATTAAAACAGTTTAGTCAAAATCTTCACCAAAAAATGTAGTCAAAGTTGTCGAAGCGATCTCATAATTTGTCATAAATTTCAAAACTTAATTTTAACTTCTAAATTTTATTTTAACAAAATGCTCTTATCTTTGCTATTTTTTTTTTTTTTTTTTTTTTTTTTTTTTAAAGTTCTGATGTTGTTTTACGTTTTCAAACACCTTTATGGAGTTTGAGTATCAAAGTCAACATTTTTCAATGATGCTATTTATCAGTTTATCATTAATTAAAAAATGATATTAATCCCAAGCATCCACATGTAATTAGAACGCTGTTGAAACAATTAAGGACATCCCAACCTTTCAAACAAAACGTGATATCGCAGTCGTTTCCTTAAACAATAATTTGCCCTTACAAATATTTATACATATAGCCTTAAAATAATGTATGCGATAAACTTTGTTAATACAATTATGTATTTAAGATTAGTTTAGAATTGATTAGAAAATTTCAAAAATTTTGATACACATTGTTTTTTAAAACTTAAATATGCACGCACTGTCGTTTACTTTTATGGTTGCTAGTTACTAAAAATAGAAACAGTTCTAGGATACACAACTCCATAGCTGGGGACAGCAACCCATCTAGGAGAGACAACTCGATAGATGGGGACAGCAACCCATCTAGGAGAGACAACTCAATAGATGGGGACAGCAACCCATCTAGGAGAGACAACTCGATAGCTGGGGGCAGCAACCCATCTAGGAGATACAACTCGATAGCTGGGGACAACAACCCATCTAGGAGAGACAACTCTAGTTAGCTGGGGACAGCAACCCATCTAGGAGAGACAACTCGATAGCTGGGGACAACAACCCATCTAGGAGATTCAACTCCAAATTTAAAAATTGCGGCCTTGTAGTTTTTTTTTAATGGTAGAAGGCTATAGAAGCAAATCCAATAAGAAAAGCAGACTGAAACATCTATTGGCAACTTTAGAACGTTTTCGTCGATGATTTTAGATTTGTGTTCAGTGTGATTAAAGCATCTTAGATTGTAAACATTAGATTCTTGTTTTTACATTTTTAACAACGTGACAGTTCATAGTTTAGATAGTTATATGATGTCTAACAGTTAAAAAGCAGAACTAGAAAAATCTATGTTGGCTTTACTTGTTTCAAGTATTGAATAATGAAAATAAGAATTAAAGTATTATTTTTTATAGTCAAGAACTTCTGTATCTATCGAAACAATGTGGTTATTATGTAACATATTCAACGTTTTATTTGTGAAATGTGTACCTTCAGATTGCCGTGGGTAAAGGTAAACAGCAGTTACACAACCCAGGTAGTGATTTAAATTTGTAAAGGAATCAATTGCTAAAATTTGGGCAACATAGAAATGTGGGTATGTTTAAAAATGTTTCTGCAATACCCGTCTTGTTAAAGTGGAAAAACTGCGAAGAACAAAACCCTCCATGTCACTATGATACTAAATCAATTAAAATGCATTTTGAAAACGTTAAAGATTGTATATTGAAACAAATATAAACAATACAGAGAAAGTACGGACTTTGTTGTTTTTGGTGACAGCAGAATTTGACACTTTAAAAATTGTACAGGTAAGTCAATACTTCAGTTTTGTCAATAAAACAATGTTAATATATCACAACTAGTCCATCCACCAAGATTGGTGAGTGGGACACGATTTTGAAGTAAAAAGAAAAGTTTTTTTTTTGTTCGTTCCCTCATTTGTATAGCCTTACAATTTATAAACAAAATTAAATGAAAGCAAGTTATTTATTTTTTTGGTTGTGTTTACATTTGAATATAAGACAGTAACCTAGACATGTTGTGGTCAAATCACCTTTGAAATACTTATTTTCACTGGCTATTTAATTGACCACCGTTACTTTTGTGTAAAGCCCTTCCGGTAAAGTTTTGCTTAACGGCTTTTGAAAGAGTTTTAAAAAAATATTTTTATATTTCCTACTTAAAAATCTATAATTATTATCTAACGCCGAATTCTCGGTAATTCATTACACACACACCTGTTTTTACTTTCTTAACTAACTGGCAACCACAAAAAAGGGTTGCGATTATTAAAAAATATTTCATATCAACCTGAAATAACAATAACAAAAATAGATCGACTTAGTTAAAAAGTGATAAATATATCTAATTAAGTTCTTATAACTTCCCTGGTTTAAATAACACCTCTACAATTTCACACACACACACACACATATATATATATATATATATATATATATATATATATATATATATATATATATATATATATATATATAGATGCATAGTTATGAATAGAACAAGTTATGCAGCAGTTTCCTTTTTAATTATCGAGAGTGATTGTTTTTAAAATCCATATTTTTTGAAGCCAATTGTAAACTGGACATTCCAATAGGATTGAACACGCACCAATTAGTTAGTTCAAATTTTCTTGTTTTACACCATTTTTAAACTTATATTAAAAGACTTTTTAAAACTACATCCAAAGCCACTTTTAGAATTATGCTTAAAACAAAAGCGCTGTTTAAAGCAATCTTAAAGTAATTTTTAAACCACTTTAGTCACTTTAATTATCAAACCTTTTTAACACAAATTCTAAAACCTTCTTTAAAATCAATTTAAAACCTCATGTAAAACCACATTTTAAAACAACTTTTAAAACCACATTTGCAAAAATATTTAAAAACCACACCGAAATAATTTTAAACACCACTCTTAAAACCACCCACAAACTTTTAAAAGCCATTTTTCATTCCACATTTTAACCACTTTTCATACCACATTTTAAACCACTTTTCATACCACATTTTAAAACCACTTTTATTACCACATTTCAAACCACTTTTCATACCACATTTTAAAACCACTTTTCATACCACATTTAAAACCACTTTTATTACCACATTTCAAACCACTTTTCAAAACCACTTTTATTACCACTATACGCTGGTGACGACTGGCGACCGGAAGTGGCCCCAGTAAGTGACGTTTGTCTGGAGTCCTGGACATCGTTCTGATAGTGAGCTTCTGATTGGCCAGACAGACCTAAGATGGCGTCAATGCTGTGGAACCTTGTCGTTGCCATGCCAACACTGGCCATCGTCCAGACCACCTGACCGGGAAATACAAATGTTAGGTAAAATACGTCATCACGCTTTGGGATGTAAGCTGTAAGGACGCTAGTGTAAGCTGTAAGGAGGGTAGTGTAAGCTGTAAGGACGCTAGTGTAAGCTGTAAGGATGGTATTGTAAGCTTTAAGGACGGTATTGTAAGCTGTAAGGACGCTAGTGTAAGCTGTAAGGACTGTAAGGACGGTAGTGTAAGCTGTAAAAACGGTAGTGTAAGCTGTAAGGACGCTAGTGTTAGCTGTAAGGACTGTAAGGACGGTAGTGTAAGCTGTAAAAACGGTAGTGTAAGCTGTAAGGACGCTAGTGTAAGCTGTAAATGGATTTTTTTGCCGACATCGCTACTATTATTGAGGTTAGGATTATAGTAAAGGATAAAGTAAAGGATACAGTTAACGATAGAATAGAGTGACAACTAACATATTCAAAGTGACAACTAACAAACGTGACAAATCACATATATAAAACGACAAATAACACATTCACTGTGAAAAATATACACTTTGACAACATATACACAATAATAAATAACACAAAGTGACAAATGACAGATAATGTAAGTTAACAAATGTAAGTAATGATAAAACGTTAACGGACACAACAAAGTTTGATAAGATGGCTCCCATCATTATTGTTGACATGGATAAAATCGTCTTTTTGTTTTTACAATTTTGTCTTCATAGGGGCAGTAAAAAAATAGTTTTAATCTTAAACTTGAAATTTTTTAGTATTGTAAGATTTTATAAGAATCAATGATATGAAAGTTGAAAATAAATGAAACTTGAATATTTGTATTTATTTTCACCAAGCTTAAATTTTAACCGAGTGATTTACATTTGTAAGACGAGCATTGATTGGCTGTACATAAACTCTGTGATGCAGTGTTTCTTCCAGACTTTTTTCTCCGAGGGGGGGGGGGGGGGGGGCGGTAGACTTTCTTTGGGGGGGGGGGGGGGGGGGCGGAAGAGATGCCTGGAAGAAACTCTGCTGTGATGGATCTCCTAAAAACAGTACATCCTAGAAATTTGTACTCAAAACTTTGCCAATAAAATTGGTTCATAAAACTATGTCGTTACTTTTTACATTTTAGTGATAAAATTTAAAAAAAAATCAATTGTTTTTGGCTTTTAAATTTTTTTTATTAGTTACCGAAAATACTAAAAACATCAAATACATGAAATCTTTCGTAAAGCAGGACAAAACCCTTTGTTTTTACTGACAGCGCACACGATTTTAAAAATATTTAATGAAACTTTCGAGACTTTCTGCGTTTTGGGTCCGTTTTGTTTCGTTTATTTGTAAAATACATTTTATTTTTTACGGAGATCGGTAAAGCGGCTGATGAAGTATGCATTGACTTGGGTCAGAAAACAGGAGTCACTAGGGGTCACTAGTTGACCTACAACCCACTCATCCCAAGTTAGTTACACTTGGTCCTCTCTACCCGAGAAAACCCACACACATTAATTTCCTGTTTAAAACGAATCGATGTACCGTTAGATACATTCATTATTTATTTCCTATTCCCTTTAGCCCTTTGTTTTATAGATTAGTATGTTTTTTTTTAAATCATACAATTTGGGGAATTTCAAAATGAAACAGTCGGTAAATACAGAAGTAATTAATAATATCTCATCACTAGAGCCGAAATTGTGTAATACCCTAATTAGGAGACTAGAATAGCTTAAAGAATGAATCAATTACTAAAGTGTAAATGGAAAATATGAATAATAAAGTAAATAAAGTTCTATTTGGAACCGGACGGTCAATGGGGCAAGTGAAGTAGAGTTGACCTGTTTCTGTTATTATGTAATCAGCACTAGACCCAACCGCCTTTAATTTTTCCAACTGTAGGAACCCACCAGAGCTGGGTGGACGTTCTACGGACATTACCGGATTCGAACTTGAGACTTCCGAATTACAGACATATGCTCTACAATTAGACCACACCGTCCTCAAACGCTGTATAGCGGATGTTTTATAGTAGAACAATTTTAGGTAATAACAAAACGTTTGCTCTAAGTAGTGCCTAAAAATGTGTGAGTTGTATTACTCCATCGAGAGCACAATGTGTTATAGATTCGACTAACAATAGACGTGTATTATGTGTTTAACCCTACGTATAAATAGCTAATATATATATATATATATATATATATATAACATTATATATATTCATATATATAGTGAAGAGGCAAGAAGGGAAACAAACAAAAAATGATCAGTTGTCAATCAAGAATAAACAGCCGGAATGTAGTGGACCTTACTTGGAGGAATCGCCCAAAACTGAGTGCGATAGAGTGGTTGTTTTCCTGTACTAAACAAGGAGTCTACATGAATGATAATGATTATGATGATGATGGTGATGTTGGTGATGATGACAATCATGGTGATGATGCATTTCTTATTTCTAATTAATAAATTTGTCAAAAAATTATATAACATTTTAGACCTGTATAGCATAAAAAGCATAATAAGTTTATACTTAAACGATTACAATAGGTAAACAGAGAAACACACTTTTTGGTGACGTATGGTATTCGTGTGTTGTACGTCAGGACCGCAGGATGAGACTGACTAGAGAAAGGTCAACTGCTGGTTCGGGGTCCAAACATTTAGAGAAATGGTACCGTCCTAGTTAAGATGGACTATCCTTAAACTTAAAACACAAGTTACAATTAAAATACATATACAATTTTACAAAATGTTTTAAGGATTTATTTTATAAAATTGACCATAGCAGAGATCTTGAATACATTTTGTACTTTGAGGCTAGACTTCTATTTATATCTAAAAACCCAATATGTTAGCTTGGCGTATCACTTTTGTAACTCAAACTTTGATTGGCTGTTATTTAATTAGCTCCACCATTAGTTTTGTCCTAAACTATTGTCACTAATTTGGTTCGTTGCATTATAGATAGTTTGTTTTTGCGCATAGCACTTTTTATACAACAGTATTGATTTTCTATTTTCAATACTTTGGTGTGCGTTTTCGATAAAACCCTATAATTTACACAGCTGAACGCAAACATGATTTTGTTTTTATTATCGTAATCGTGTTGCGTAGACAAAAAAAAAATCAAATTTCTTTGGCTTTAAAAAAAAACAAACTTGAAACCACACCGGATAACGGTCGAAGGCCAACGCTACATACAGAAGTCAAGAGGTCAAAGTCAGTAACTCACAGTAACAAATACACCGAATCTTTACTGAAGGAGTAGAAAATACAACGGGTGGCGGAGTGATCTAGCGGTAGAAAGCTGGACTGCTAACCCGTAAGTTTCGAGTTCGAATGCGGGTTCGAGTCAGTAGACCGTCCCTGACTCCAGTATTCCTGATGGGTATCTATCTCACATTAAGGAAAATTAAAGGCGGCTGGGCATAGTGCTGACCACACTATCTCTTCATATGCCGCGGTCACAGAAACAAGTGAACTCTACTTCATTTGCCATATATACTTTACTTACTTTAGAAAATACACAAGATAACGTTATTGTGGGCAAATGTTTTAATAACTCTAAAATTATTTAAAATATTTTATCACCTTTAAAAGTAAATTGGGACTATTCAGTTACCGTTTAGCATTGCATTGACAAATTCTATGATACTTTTTGCAACACTGTATTCACTCATTTGTAATGTATTATGTATTGATGCTTTTGCAAATTTTATGTGACCATTTGTAACACTGTATACAATAATTTTCTGATACTTTTTGTAACATTAGATTCATTCATTTTTAAATAATTTTTGCAGCATTTTATTCACAAGTTTCATCATACTTAAAAAAATATATTCCCTATATACTTTTTGATGAAATTAAAAATTATAAATAAATGAAAGCGTTTTAAGTACAACATCCATTATCAAATTACCCTTTGGTTATATGTAGTCACCAATTTAACTAAATAAGTTCATGACATTATAAATAGATGATTATAATAAAAATGTTTGAACAGTTTGGTGTGAAGTAGGCCTACATGACATGGTTACGTTATCGAAAGCCACGTAACATTAAAATACATTAAGAGTTTCATTAATTTAATTTAATGAAATTGAAAATGTGATTAACAAAATAAAATAAAGAAGAATTTTAGTGTATTTTTAAAGCATAAAAATAGAATAAATATAAATTATACAGATCACAAATATTGTCAAACTGATTTAATTTTGTAAAAATGAAAGAATATAAAAATATTTGAATTTTACTTGATTTTTAAAATAATATTTTATTGGTTTTTGAAAGCATCCTCATCTTTCAATACTCTTAGACATTTTTATTGCTCCCCTAAACAATATTTTTTTTATTGGGGGGGGGGGGGGGGGGGGCACGTGCTTTCCATGCTCATCTCTTTTGTGTCCATTTACATTGAAAGATATACACTGTGTACATATTTTGTTTTGTGTTCATTTACATCATTTACATTGAAAGATATACACAGTGTACATATTTTGTTTTGTGTGTTTACATCATTTACATTGAAAGATATACACAGTGTACATATTTTGTTTTGTGTTCATTTACATCATTTACATTGAAAGATATACACAGTGTACATATTTTGTTTTGTGTGTTTACATCATCTACATTGAAAGATATACACAGTGCACATATTTTTTTTTAAAAATATTACTTTCAAGTAACTTTATATTTGTCAATTGATGTCTTTAACACACTGAAAAAATCTCATTATTCATAGACTGATAAAATCTGATAATTCTTAGAATAATAAATCTTATATATCATACAAAGATAAAATCTCATAAATCATAGAAAAATACAATTTTATAAATCTTACAAATATTAAATCCAATAAATTACAATTTTCAAAGCGAGCATCGTAAAATTCTCGAATGTTTTCTAATGTTTTCTAATGCGCAATGCAAGAAATCTTGGTTAAACGAATTGACATACAACCTAACTTGTCGTAGAATAAATGATCTATACTAGAGTCAGAAAGGCTGGATTTTAGCTATTGATTACTAGCATATAGCTGTGTATGGCTGCAGCAATTACAAAAAGCAGCAGTGCAGCCAAGTGAAGCCATAACGTTGATTTTCTCAAGGCGAATCTCTACCACATCAGACCTTCAGTCTATCTAGATTTCTGTTCTTTGTCTTTCAAATGTCTTATTGTTTGAGGTGTATAATTTTCTTATGTCAGTGTTATGTCGCTGTCACTTATGTGCTAGTAGCTGCATGTTGAATTCAATTCTTGTCACAATAATTTTTGTTACATATGTCTTTTCACATTAATTTCGTGTAATCGTGTCACATTATTGTCTTGTCTCTTTGAATTCTTATCATAATATTTTCTTGTCAAATTAATTTTTTCATTCTTTAAATTTTTAAAGTGTTCTTTTCTTATTTACTTTTTTCATTGTCCCTTTTGTACATCATCATATAAATTTTCGTGACGTGATTTCTTTGTCACATTAAGTTTTGTGACATTAGTACTTTTAAATTAATTTTTGTGGCGTTAGTACTTTGTAATATTAATTTTCTTCTGTTAGTATTTTGTTACATTAATTTCCTGTCACATTAATTTTATTATTGTAAAATTTTCTTGTCACATTAATGTTTTGACATTAATTTTTAATTTTAAAAAAAAATTGTATTAATTTCTTAAATTTTGTCACATAGCTCTGGTCAAAACCGTTTTGTCACTTCACATTCTTGTCACATTATTTCTGTTGACTTTGGTATCTTGTCACATTAGTTGATAGAATGCCATTTTGTTCACAACATAAAATGTGATATTTTTTTAAAACTGAACCTGACACACTAATAAAATACATTATATCATATGTAATTGAAATTTTTAAAATTCGGTTACATAAAGCAACTAGATTTTAAAGTGGGCTAAATAAAATATAAAAAAAACCTACAAAAAATAATTGCTGCGAAATGTAAAAATATTCATATTTACTTTTTTTTTTAATAGCTAAAATTAGACGTAATTAGTCTATTGATTTACCCACCTATCTGTCTAACCACACATTCACTCATCCATCAACCCATCAAACTATTACATCTTCCAACCAATCTATTCACATATATTAGTAGCTTTATATATATATATATATATATATATATATATATATATATATATATATATATATATATATATATATATATATATATAAATAAATAAATATATATATATATATATATATATATATATATATATATATATATATATATATATATATATATATATACATATGTGTGTGTATATATAGATACATACATTTCTATGTTTATATTTATAAATGAATATGTATATATATATATATATATATATATATATATATATATATATATATATATATATATATATATATATATATATATATATATATATAATTTATGTATGTATGTATGTGTTTATCGTAAAATATTATAATGAGTAGGGATTTAAATTAGATTTGAAAATTTAAAACAAAATACGTAAACATTTTATACAAATTAGAACAATTAGAATAAAAATTTAAAAGCTTCCATTTTGTTTGTTTATATTTGTATTTATCCTATCAAAGTTTTTGTATCCGTTTGTTTTCGACAAAATATCCAACTAAAATTACTTAAGTTTAGTGACAACGCTACTGATTGATTTGTCGACTTTGATTAACAAGATATAAACATTAAAAAATTACATAGTTGTAACATCGCAGCTTACTTGAGTTGTCATTCATTTTGAAAAAGTTATCATTTACTTTTAAAAGCAGAAAAACGTACATTCAATGATAAAAGCAGAATTATAAATACAATGAAAGAAAGATTCAAAATATCTCAAAGAAAAGCCTTACAAAAACAATCTATTTTTTAAAATATCATTTTTGTACTCACTTTTTAGGGCCGTGTTGTGTTTTGTTGTCTTCTTATTAAGTGATGAGTTAATTACATCAAGGTTTTAGTCCACTAATTGAATATCTGTTCACCAATGTACCCACAGTTACTCGCGTTTTGAGACTTCAACAATATTTGTTATACATTTGTTGCTTTGTTTCGTAGGTTCAACCATACGATGTTTATCACCAGAGGCTAAGTTTTTAATTGGGCCGCACATCTGTGTGTCGTGTTAAATATGATCTCGAGGTATTCGCTGGATCAAGGAAGTGACGCGGCTAGGCAAATCTGCTAGGAAACTTTTACGTCGCCATTATTCGTCCTGTCACGTGTCACCCGCTCGCGCTTCTAATCTCGGACCCCCTAGTGCCGTCACTGGCGAGGGGAGGAGCCTGGGGCTCCCAAGGGTGGGTGCGCACCCGGGAAGAAGGGGCGGGGGAGGGGGGATTTAAAGAAAAACATAATGAATAATAGACGATAGTACGGGTGCAGGGATCCAATGCTATCGAGATTGCTACAAACACTCTACAAGTTCTCCAGTAAATTGTTCAACATTTTGTTCAATACAAGTTCTATACAAGTTCCATAGACTTGTCGTCCTAACGATTCAGCCGCCCGCATATCTTAATAACACTTGTTAGTTTAAGAGGCTGGAACGTCGAGTTTGGGATCAACAGAAGCGTTCATTCGTGCTAGACGGATGGCGACTGCCTGGCTACATGATAACTGGTCCTTCAGGCTAGATGATAACTAGCTACATGATAACTAGTCTTTTAGGCTACATACAAGAGATGTTTTGTTGGCTAAAACATATACACGACATTTTGGCTACATCAGATATACGACATTTTGACTACATTAGATATACGACATTTTGACTACATCAGATACATGACATTTTGGCTACATCAGACATACGACATTTTGGCTACATCAGATACACGACATTTTGGCTACATCAGATACATGACATATTGGCTACATCAGATACATGACATGTTGGCTACATCAGATACATGACATTTTGGCTACATCAGATACATGACATGTTGGCTACATCAGATACATGACATGTTGGCTACATCAGATACATGACATATTGGCTACATCAGATACATGACATTTTGGCTACATCAGACTTACGACATTTTGGCTACATCAGATACATGACATATTGGCTACATCAGATACATGACATGTTGGCTACATCAGATACATGACATTTTGGCTACATCAGATACATGACATGTTGGCTACATCAGATACATGACATGTTGGCTACATCAGATACATGACATATTGGCTACATCAGATACATGACATTTTGGCTACATCAGACTTACGACATTTTGGCTACATCAGATACATTTCTGTAGTCTGTATTCTGTCCGTAGTCTGTCCGTAGTCTGTCCGTAGTCTGTCTGTATTCTGTCCGTAGTCTGTGTTGAGTTCTCTCTATTTCAATAAAATATGAACAAGCCTGGAAAATGCCTGATCCAACTCCGCCCTAGTCCTAAAGTGACACGCTTCTACCGAGTCTTAAATAAACAACAGATATAACCATAAACAACCAATGTGCGTAGTTTAAAAAGCTCGGTTAGTGTGCAAGTACTACGGCAAATCACATACAACAAAACACGAACATTGTCCAAGTTGGTCTAAACTCTATTGACGCAAGCAGATGTGTTTAAAAAAGATACTCTTTCTGACCTGATAGTCCATAGTGCAGATGAAGTAGAGTTCACCTGTTTCCATGACCTCGGCATCTGAAGGGATAGTTGGTCAGTTCAATGCTCTGGCCGTCTTTACCTTACCATAGGGTAAGTGATGTATCCATTGTAGAGGGGAGACTCCAGTATGTTCTACAGGGGGGGGGCGGTATGGCGTGTGATAGGGCTACTTCTTCATTCACAAAGTCAACTCTTCATTCACAAAGTCAATTCTTCATTCACATAGTCAACTCTTCATTCACATAGTCAACTCTTCATTCACAAAGTCAACTCTTCATTCACAAAGTCAATTCTTCATTCACAACCCTTCATTCACAAAGTCAACTCTTCATTCACAAAGTCAACTCTTTATTCACAAAGTCAACTCTTCATTCACAAAGTCAACTCTTCATTTACAAAGTCAACTCTTTATTCACAAAGTCAACTCTTCATTCACAAAGTCAACTCTTCATTCACATAGTCAACTCTTCATTCACAAAGTCAACTCTTCATTCACATAGTCAACTCTTCATTCACAAAGTCAACTCTTCATTCACAAAGTCAATTCTTCATTCACAACCCTTCATTCACAAAGTCAACTCTTCATTCACAAAGTCAACTCTTCATTCACAAAGTCAACTCTTCATTCACAAAGTCAACTCTTCATTCACAAAGTCAACTCTTCATTCACAAAGTCAACTCTTCATTCACAAAGTCAACTCTTCATTTACAAAGTCAACTCTTCATTCACAAAGTCAACTCTTCATTCACAAAGTCAACTCTTCATTCACAAAGTCAACTCTTCATTCACATAGTCAACTCTTCATTCACAAAGTCAACTCTTCATTTACAAAGTCAACTCTTCATTCACAAAGTCAACTCTTCATTCACAAAGTCAACTCTTCATTCACAAAGTCAACTCTTCATTCACATAGTCAACTCTTCATTCACAAAGTCAACTCTTCATTCACAAAGTCAATTCTTCATTCACAACCCTTCATTCACAAAGTCAACTCTTCATTCACAAAGTCAACTCTTCATTCACAAAGTCAACTCTTCATTCACAAAGTCAACTCTTCATTCACAAAGTCAACTCTTCATTCACAAAGTCAACTCTTCATTCACAAAGTCAACTCTTCATTCACAAAGTCAACTCTTCATTCACAAAGTCAACTCTTCATTCACAAAGTCAACTCTTCATTCACAAAGTCAACTCTTCATTCACAAAGTCAACTCTTTATTCACAAAGTCAACTCTTCATTCACAAAGTCAACTCTTCATTTACAAAGTCAACTCTTTATTCACAAAGTCAACTCTTCATTCACAAAGTCAACTCTTCATTCACAAAGTCAACTCTTCATTTACAAAGTCAACTCTTCATTCACAAAGTCAACTCTTCATTCACAAAGTCAACTCTTCATTCACAAAGTCAACTCTTCATTCACATAGTCAACTCTTCATTCACAAAGTCAACTCTTCATTCACAAAGTCAATTCTTCATTCACAACCCTTCATTCACAAAGTCAACTCTTCATTCACAAAGTCAACTCTTCATTCACAAAGTCAACTCTTCATTCACAAAGTCAACTCTTCATTCACAAAGTCAACTCTTCATTCACAAAGTCAACTCTTCATTCACAAAGTCAACTCTTCATTCACAAAGTCAACTCTTCATTCACAAAGTCAACTCTTCATTCACAAAGTCAACTCTTTATTCACAAAGTCAACTCTTCATTCACAAAGTCAACTCTTCATTTACAAAGTCAACTCTTTATTCACAAAGTCAACTCTTCATTCACAAAGTCAACTCTTCATTCACAAAGTCAACTCTTCATTTACAAAGTCAACTCTTCATTCACAAAGTCAACTCTTCATTCACAAAGTCAACTCTTCATTCACAAAGTCAACTCTTCATTCACAAAGTCAACTCTTTATTCACAAAGTCAACTGGGCTAGGTGGATAGGCCACACGTTAAGGAAATTGACAACAACTATTACTAGACAAGGTATTTCCGCAGTCCACGCGTATACAATAAATTTCAAATTTCAAATTTATTCAAATTTATTCAAACAACGGTTACAATTGTAGGCACAAAGGCCTTTTTTCACATTGGCCGTTTAAACAAATAAAGCAATTCAATAACACATAGCAGTAACACATAGCACTGAAAACGTGGAATAAAGAAACAATGGTACATAGCTATCATACATAATGAGATAAAAAAGAGAATATAATAGATGAATGAGAAATGTTACAATGAGTCAGTTAGGTCATTAAATAATTTTAGTTTTAGTTTAGATTTGAATATATTTTCAGATCTAGATAGCTTTATTTTATTAGGAAGATTGTTCCACAAATTAGAACCAGAGTAGGCGAAGCTATGTTTTTGGAAAAAGGTTGAATAAGGGAATGGTAAATTAAGACGACGATTTAATTTTATGTTAAAAGAAAATAGATCTGATAAGTAAGAGGGGGCTGTTTCGTGGAATATTTTATATAAGAAAATTGATTTAGTATATATTATCTTTTTATTTAATGGAAGTATTTTAGTAGTAAGAAAAGAATCCAGACTACTAGACAAGCCAGTAACCAGTTTTATAGCCCTTTTTTGTAAAGAAAGAAGAGGACGCTGCTTAGATATAAAGCTGCCGCTCCACACTACAGAAGCATAATCCAACCTGGATTGAATAAAAGCCTCATAAAAAACCAGCCTGCACCTATAACGCGGAGACCCAAAGTCACACGGTGTAAGAAAATAAAAAAAATAAAAAAAATGAAAATTATTGGGAAAAGTGGAAAACAAAGATAACTAAAGACATAAAACATGGAGAAACGTTGTACATTGTGTATTTTCCATTGAGATATGAAGATGAAATCTTCGGTTTTACATTCAACAGGATCTCTTGCTAAATGTACGATAACTCTGGTATAAATTAGTGCTAAATCTACAGTCATCCAGTAAAATAAGGGTGGTTATATCTTTAATCACCACGATAATTAGCTTTCATTATACTTGAAAAATAACTAATTAACAAAAGGCTATAACTTTGTGAGCATTTGGATTTTGTGTTTTAAAACGACTTTATCTTCGAGTCAAATTATTTTAAAAATCATCTTTCTTTATATTTTAAATCAAAGGGCCATTTGATTTAAATGTACTGACAAAATGGTTGTTTCTTTAGTTTAATCATCCATAGTGACTCAACATGTCTTGTAATCATAGGGAATCTCAGCAAATATTTCTTGCAAACTTCCAAGTTATTTTATTTTACAATACAAAAATTACAAGGTGTGTAAACCTTCAAATATTTCTTTCTGGTGATGTTGTGGGCGGATGGGTTGGCGCAAGACTGCTAACCCGCAAGTCACGAGTTCAAATCCTTTTCTCCTCAGCTAGGGATAACCCAGGTAGGATGGAAACTCCTGAATCAAATAAGGAGGGATAGGATAGGCGATAGGATAGGCGATAGGATAGGCGATAGGATAGGCGATAGGATAGGCGATAG